AAAGGATTAAAAGTATCGCAGGGAAAAATATAAATAGTTAATATCTTTCAATAGATATAAAATTATAATAAATGTTATACTAGAGTTACGCTTAAAGTTCTAACTCTCTTTTTTTTTGGTATTTTGAACATAATATTTAGGTATAATTATTTAATATTTAAAAATATTTTTAGGGCACTTTGTCAATTATTTGTTATACATTTTAATGTTTTTGAAAATCGATTTAAAATGATCAATTCATTAAGTTTTTAAATTCATAAACGTATTCCTTTTAGGAATTTTATCGGCTTTTACTCTCCTTCTGTCCAAACTTAAAAGTGGAATATTTCATCAAAGGATTGATAGAAATTAAAAATATTAACAACAAAATAAATTTAAACTTAAACTTCATTCATTTATTGAATTTTTAATATAAGTTGCTTTTAAAAATCAAAAGAGGGTAGTGATTTAACCCACATAAATAATAATGACAAAAAAGTAATGGTAATGTAATATTTTAGAACAACTTGTGTTTTTAAATTGTCGAAAAAATAATCTCGAAAAAAGTTAATACCTTCCGTGATAATGAATGTTTTATCGAGGATTGGTTATCATCATGTATAAGTAAAATTAGTATATTTATTCGACCATTTAATTAACATAGGTACAGAGATAGTATACGCGACATGCGCGAAACTGTGTGTAAATAAATTAACTAGCTAGACTTAAGAGAGGAGTAATAATGCAGTAAGCGACAGTAAATCCTATGGTCGTATAATATGTATAGTATTAAAAAGACGTAGTATTTTTGTAAAAAGTTTAGTGAACTCTGCGAGCGCACAACCTTTTAAATTTAAAACGCGCGTACATCGAAAATAAGCCAAAACTATACCAGTACGTATAGCACAGTTGAACATAAAGTTTTGATTATACTTGCGGGAATTAACTCAGTGGGTTGTCGGAAATCTAATTCCGCGTGTTGCTCACGTCCCCGTGTATACGTGCGGTCAAGAGATCTATTTTTAATTCGATTGCGGTCCGCGCGTGGACAACTGATCCCGTTCCTATTAACGCGAAACGTTTCGAACTTTTTCGCTCGAAAATCTATTTCAATAATTAGTTATACCTAATAATAGATTTCCTCAACTTTATCACGAAAACCGTCCTACTAGAATAACAGCGAAGAGTACGCATCATCAATTTCGTATCCAACAGACCGGGGTCAGTGGCGTCATTTGAGTAGGAGCAGAGAAGGCATTTTCTCTCCTTGCCATCAGCGGGCCTCTGTTGGGCTGGGTTCGGGTTAGTTTTGGACCTCAAGCCTGCAAATATAATTCATGATTTATGTTGCATACGGCCACTCTGAGCTACAGTTTTTTAAGATTTGTTTGTGGTAATAATTGTGATAAGTGTGATAATTGTATTTTGTTATTCATGCCTATGATATTAAGTATAAAATGATAATAAGGATATTTGTATTGAGATAAAAATGTAATTTTTACGAATGAATTAGCGAGCAGTTTTTTTTCAGTTTTATTATGGACCAGTCAAATCTTTTGCCCCTTCCTTTCAAAAACCGAAATAACGCCACTGGCCGGGGTTATAACGTTATGTATACTCATACTACAGAATTGCCACTACGAGTTCAATGGAATTTATAATATACATTATTATATATTCAAATTTCATCACTAGACAGCGCTATCTGAGCATTACTTCCGAGGCTCACTTGCCAGACTTAATAAACTTAATTATCAGACTTAATAAAAGTCTGTGTGTAAGACACTCATTATCTCAGAAAGTATGAACTTTTTTTGGAATTTGTTTTGTTGAGCATTTAATAAACGAGCAGCTCTACAATTTTTCATTTCTGTTATTTTTTGTCATCCTTATTTTAGATACTGAGTTTAGCGAAGAATGGTTTTACAAAAATGTTTATTTTTTTTTTTCATGTGAACACTTTTTTTCTAGAAATCTTACATCAATGACTGATTATCAAGTATAACACCTCTTCTGAAAGGAAATGTTCTCTGGGTGGCACCTTAGGGATGTAATTTTTTGAAATTCTCATTAATTTTCGAGATAATGAGAAAATCCTGGTTCTATATATTAGTAAAACTATACGCTTCTTCGCTCCACTCAGAATCAAAAATAAATAGATATTTGATAGTTCAAAATAAATAGCTGACATGTGCATGCGAGTGAGTGTAATCATATTAATCGGCATACCGAAGTAATAAAATTATCGTTTGGGTCGTCCGGTAGTGTTACCATCAAATAAAACATAAGATAAGAGGAAATTTCAAAATGTATAATTATAACAGATATATAATAGGTATTTTATATCTGTGATTACTCGTATTATGTATAAATTGTACTGTAGGTATATAATTTATACAATAATAATAATGCGTTTATACATATTTTGAAAAATACTTACTATATTTCTGAAGCTATTCTCTATCCCTATCAAACTCAGTTCCTGATAGAGATGGGAATTATGGGTCATTTAAGTGATTCGATTCATTCGGATCAGGTCAACATGAAAATTTGGTTCAAAGACCCGTTCGTGATCTGATAGATTATTTTGAGCCTATTGAATCTTATGGTTACCACTTTTCAAACGGTTCGCGATTTGTTCATATATGACGTATACTACTATACTGTATAGTGACCGCGGTTCAGTCGGTTCAGTGGATTACAGTCGTTCAGTGTGATCCACAATGTAATTTTTTAAAAAACAGGTATTTGATGATCCAGATCTTTTATTTAGCGATCCGATTCAATCTCGTTTATTACTTTGATCCGATTCGTTCGTTTCGTAATTTTTAACGTATTTAAAATAATAATGATTATTCACATCATTCATCAGTCACCACTCGTCTAGTCGTTTCAACATTATACATATTTTAAATATTAACTGTACTCTGTAGTATTCGTATAATTGTTTTATGTGAGTACATTTAATTATGTACTTTTATATTATTAATTAATTGTCATTAATAGCTTCTTGTTCTCAATACCTGAGTGGGCGCGTAAAAAAGAAATTAAGACCATTAAAAGAAGATATGTACAACTAATGCATTTTAGGATTATCGGATATCGATTTTTCAAACCAATAGTTTCGATCGTGTCAGCGGCTAAGCCAATATATAATATTATAATAATGCTAATAATAATAACCATAAATGGTTAACAATTTTTTAAAATAATAATATTATGCTTCAAGAATATGGTGATACGACTAATGGATTAAAGAATCATTATTTTCGGTAATCAACGATTTAAGGGTTAAACAAATCCTTTTAATTAAATGTTTTATCGTTTTTAATTTTGTTCGGGCGGGACAGTGTAAAAATCATTATTTTTAAGTACGTTTAACCTCTAACGTCCGAAAACGGTAAATACACGAAACGTGCGATATCGTACTGGCACTGATTAGAATATTCAAAACCGCACGGCGCGCGAGAACGCGCGATCGCTCACAAAGACGTCCGAAAACCTCTCCTCGCCACCGCCACGCCGGACGTACGCACGTCGGCATCGCCGCGCGTGGATGTCGATAAGCAAAATTTGTGTGTAAAGGACGTGGCGGGGTTGTCGACCAATAAAAGCCGTTCCCTTATCGCGCCGTCGCCGTCGCGCGTCCGTCCGCTCGGACGTCGTCCGACGGTGCGACGAGTTTACGTTTGCCATCCAGAGAGTTGACTTTCGCTCGGCGATTTTTCTTTTCCGCATTCAATACGAGCGGCCAAACACGTGGACGCCATCGGTCACCGGTTCCAGTGCATCGGTTCGTAATGTATAAACCACTTTTTTAACTATGGTCGATATCCGTCACCCACTAGGCTTTAATGATTGTTTTTGTACAGTATGTTAATTGTTTCTCTTGTTTAATGTACCTATTTTTAAGCTTTTACGCGGTAATAGCGTGCCTAATGTTTGTGATATTAGTACTGTTAAAATAAACCATGTACAGTTTCACGTGTAATCCCGAAATTCAATCTACTCCTCCGGTGTCTGCTTGGCCATTCCAAACAACCTATCCCTCGAGGCGCGGAATTCGAAACCCAAACCTCATGTTCCCTCAGTTCTATCATTTACCGGGTTTTCGACCTAACCTATTGGCAGCGATCCGCATGTCCCGGACATTACTCCGCAGATTAGCACGTAGAGCCACCACTCGGGCATAAACAATGGAAGTTCGCCTCGCGTGGGGACCCTCAGTTCCGGCCATAATCCGTGTGCCACGGCAAACACGGCCCTGCGCGAGTCTCCGATAAAAAATTTAAAAAAATTACCAAGTCTAGCCGGAAAATTTCCTTTTTTTTTGGTTTATTATTTCCTATTTTATGACATTGCGAAAACTGTTAGTGTACTATGTAAATACTACCTACCCATGTAATGACCAAGTTTATCTTGTATGCCTCTCTCCGGGAGAAGTTTTTATGCCACATGGCTTGTTTTCACATTAACGTAAACACTATTTCTCATTTTATAAAGTGAGAAAGAAAATACTTTTTTTAGATCAATAAATGAACTTTCTTCTTCCCATTGAATTGTTTATTAATATTTGTACTATTGCTGTCCAGTAATATGTATATCTATTTACCACGTGCACCCTTTTTCGGTATGTTTTATAAAAATCCTAGAGTTCCGGTCTACGGACCTCGTCTCCAGGTTGGTGACCTAGTACCAATTATAAAAAAGGTTTGGGTTTAGTTTTCACCATAAGGACAGTTCCGAATCTGTCGTCAGACGCTTGCTCTCGGTTCTCGAACATAATACACCGAGGCCCGTTCCGAGCGATCAAGCGTAATCGAGTCGTCGTAAACTTAAATTAAATAAGAACACAAGTTATACATATTGTCTATTACATTTAATAATGACAAACATAATAAATGTTTTTGACATAATATTTGACGTTATTCATGATTGAAATAGATATATGTATATATTTAATATACCTATTATGAATTGACACACTGTTACTTCATGATGATTACCTATCCCTACTTCGATTTCAATATTGGTTATTTATCAATTAATAATACAAACAAACAAAATATATTAAATTCTATATTTTACTTCCTGTTTTCTTGTCACTTAAAATTAATTGTACATAGGCTCTATGTTGGGGGTAAGTACAGTAAACCAGATATCAGTGATTTCTTAATTTGATTTGAATTTAACAGTGTGTGGGGTATCAGTGTATCATTTCTTTAAATATGTCCAATATATCACCAATTATTACATTTAAAAAATTATACCACATTTATCTAATTTAATTTGAATTGTATCAGTATGACAATATGTATTAATTTAATTTAAAAATCATTAATGAAATAGACCACGTTTTTGTTGGTATGTGATTCATTTAACAATGTTTTATTCTTAGAGCATGTACAATGTATAAATCTGTAAGCAAAAACGTGTAGCCAACATATCAAAAAGAAATCTCACTTTGGAGCATGCGCGAAGTACTCCTATCAGTCTTATCACAACCTACCTATTAAAATATGGTATTGTAATATATCTACATCTATGTAAAATATACATACAAATGTCCAATATAGGTTGTAATTAGAGAGCGGATTTCTAGATTTAAAAAGTTTAATATATGATGCTAATATTCTCCATAAAAACATTTAAATATTCTCTTAATATTCCTTAAACATGTAAAATATACAAATTTTTTTTATCTTTACTTGTATCATTTCTTTGATAAATTTTTAATCTCATCTATGTTTAAAAGATAATATGTTTTATAATATTGTTATGTTTTTGCATTTTAAAAAATAAAATTGAATACAACAAAGTTAAAATGAAAAACTAAATAACCTTAATTCAAATCGTTATTATCATTTTAAACATTTGATTGTATATAATCATAATTCATAGATACTAAATAATATTATCCATTGCCAAAATCTCTTTATGATTTTCTTCACGATCCAAGAGAAATAGAGTGACTAACATTACCAATTTGACTACAAACCAGAGACTGAATGCTTTTTATCATTCTTTAATTAAATAAACAATAATCATTTTTTCTTATAATTAAAACATCAAAACTTGATAAATAGCTAAATATATGATTTTTTAGACTCTGAGTTTAGCAAAAAATGAATATGTTTGTTTTACAAACATATTTATTTTTTTTTTTATGAGAATACTTTTTCTACCAGCAAAATTACTCTAATTATCAATTATAGCACCTTTTCTAAAAATAAATGTTCTCTGGGTGATACTTTAGAGAGGTCAATTCTTTAAATTCACAATCATATTCGAAATAATAAGGAAAACCTGGTTTTTTAGGTTAGAAAATATTGAAAGATTAAAAATAAGGTTGTCATTAATAACCGTTTTTATTTATTTTAATCTTTTTTAAACTATCATTGTTGTCATGGAAACACATATTGTTGTAATCGTTTTACCATAATAATATGACATTATATATTGTTGACAAAGCAACACTATTAACTGAACTCCCTAGAGAATCATTTCTTTGTTAACAATGGTTTATCATTACTTACAGATATATATTAAATTCCCGTTTGTATCCTACCTTACCCACTTCCCACCTACAACAGTGGCTGCGTCCATATATGAAATATGTCCGTCCCTTTTTTTGAACAATAATATAATATATTCTAAAATGTGAAAAATGAGCTAAATATTCTCTAATCATCAAAATATGCTCAGATATACAAAATTAATTTCTTTTTCCATGAACTCTTTAATAGATAAATCATCCTCGCGACGACGAGTTGAAAATTAAAATTAAGTTAATATTAATTAAATGAATAATTAAGTTGAATAATTTAATAACTTGTTACTTTTTTTTTAAAGAATATTTAATTAAAAACACATTTAACATATTACTATGAGTTAATTTTAAACAGATTAATTGAAATCAAGTTTAATTTTAAGTTTTATATTATGAGTTTTTTGACTGCGAAAAAAATAGATCACTTGACAGATGGTGATTACAGTAAACACATCCAGATGTAATAAAATTCAAAATATTGGTTTTTTTTTCAGTTGTTATAAATATTGTCAAGTGTACTGAGGTAGTGTGTGAGATAGTATTAACCATAAAATAAAAAAATAATTATTTAATTATGNACATCTACTGTCTCAGTCCAAATACTATGAAATTTATAGAGAAAATTATTTTGGAAGGAATGTCATAGTGTTTTTGTAATACTTATTTAAAATATGCAGCTCAATATAATAGGCATAAAAATCTTTTTTCTTTTTTAAATAACTGCAATTTTTTTAATAATTTATAATTCAAAAAACATCTATGCCATTTTATCTAAAATATTGTTAACTATAAATTTCATAATAGGTACTTTTATTGTAATATGAAAATTAAGCTAGTTGTATTTATTCTGCGTAAGCATTATTTTTGTATGTTACATGGTAATTGGATTGGAAAAGTAGATGCGGGTATAACGTCCTATTAGTCTTGGATAGTCAAATAAATTGTATTTAGATAGGCGCACACCAAGACTAAAAATTGTGTGGTTGTAGCATGAAATAATAGTTGTCATAAGTATAAGTCAAATAATATTGTATAGGTTTCATAAAGGTGTGAAGACTTCAATTTCTGGTCAAGTATAGAATCTTTGTTTACCTAATTCACCAACAGAATGTATGTTATTTTAGGTACCTTTTTAAATTTACAATTAAAATATATTATTGTAAGCGAAAAATAAAAACTGTAATATTTATATTGTCGGCTTTTGCCAAAACTCGCTAATGGTAAAATAGTAATTGTTGAAAAAATGACTAAGTTTTTAAAAATTTAATTTTTGCACAATTTCTTTTTGATAAAATCTGCTTATATTACTACATTAAATTATATTAGATTTTTTTTTAAATGTTTAATGTAACACAATTTTTTCTATCAGTAAAGTATTGTATGTAAATAATTTAACCTTTAGTTAGTTTTACCAAATAGAAAAATGATTATTACTGTTTGTTTTGACTGGAGAAAATTTTTATCGGTTTAATATTAATTAGTTTTCTTATTCAAATATTGAATACTTGACATACATTTAAAAAAAAATTATCTCATAAACTACCCAAAAAGTTAAAAAAAAAAATTATTATTTTTAAAATGAAATGACATTAATTAATATAAAAACTTATGAATATAACAAATATAAAATAAAAAAATAATAATACAAATTAATCTTTATCTTTATCCAACTCTGAATCAGATTCACCTAGTTCTGGAACTTCATCTTTTTTAAGGCTTAGATTTTTTTCAATTTTGTGTTGATCTTTCAACTTGGAAAATATTTAGCCAATCTTGAACCCTGTAAATTGGAACATTTCTTTTTGTATTTTCTATGTTACTGTGCATGGAATCAACTTATACCAACTTCAACCATCATAGAGTGCCTACCCTATCAATTCATGCTCCATTAGATTGATGTTTGTTGTTTGAATAATATTAAATCATTGGTGTTATATTGTTATGATTCCTATTCTGGCTACCGCATTAACCTGAATATAATGTTATATTTTTTACTTTAGTGGGTAATGTTTGAATCCACTTAAGAAGACCGAAAACAATTTCTGAACTACCACGTTTCCCGTTAATTTCGGTTCGTGTGAAGCAATATACATTTTGAGGAGGCGCTACTTCACATACAGTTAAGTTAAATATGTTTAGTTTTCTATTATAGTACATTAAAGATATTTTTGAACATTGTATTTTCAATGTAGATTGCAAGTCAAAACTGGCAACCATTTAGTTCCTGGTTATTTTTGATAATTTATTATCAATATATTTTCCTATAAAAAATAGGTGCATCCTATGCATTTAGTAGGCTAAATGCTCATTTTGGCCTTGTTCTAATTGCTGTTTATCTTCAAGGTTTGACGTTTTATATCTATCACTGGAGGCACTGGTCCTTTTTAGGCTTAAAGAATGATAAATTGAAGTGTGTAAAATATATTTGTCTATACACTGCAAGCTGTGGTATAGATATGATCAATTTTATATTTATCATTAAACAGTTCATATATTTTAGAAATTGAGAGTTTTTCATCTATATATTTTCTTTTGGTAGATTTACAAGTATAATGACTTTCAACTACAGGGAAATTGTTGTTTATATCATACTTATATGAGATTTTATTTCATTTAAATCTTTAATAGATATTTTATTTGATAGAATGTTTACCTCTTTTATCACATTCAATAAATAATTTGTTTTCTGATCTGCCTTTCACTGTTGTGTTAATAGGTCCATTGCTTCTATATAAAGTAACTAAAGAATTTTTGACATACTATTATTTTATTTATATTTAATGAAAAATATTTATTATATATTGATCAAAGTTTTTGTTTAGGAACACCTAACACCTTAGTAACACAATTCAGACATTTAGATTCCAGTATTTACACAATATCTCTTCCTTTTTCATCAAAATATTTTTGGCTTTTTATCAAGTTTTCTTTTTATCTTTGAAGTATATTCTTGACATGAACTGATATTTTTTGTTATGTTGTTTTCCCCATAAGTTTGTTTGGCCCTGATGCCATCACCTCCTTTTCCTTTCAGACATTGTTGAAGATTCATTACTATAAAACCTATCAACATTGAATGAATTGGGTGCTCTAAAAAAATCTAAAAAAATTTAAAAATTGTAAGAATACAAAGTTTATATCTGTAAGTTAAAAAAATACAAATTATACTGACCATTTTGTACAACATGGTTTGTTGGTTCAATCAAGCAATTAGAGATCTCATTCCACTCATTAAGTTCTATAATTATATTATCATCTTATGATTGAACCATGGTTTCATTAATATGGTAATATAATAATTATTATTTTTTAATTTATAAAAGAAATATTTGAATTTGCTAGTATCTTTAATATATGTTGTTTTTTAAAGTTTCAAAAGGTTCATCTAAAATTAAATATATTCATTACTATAAAGTACTAAACATGATTCATAAAGGTTATAATAATAATTATATATTTATGTACAATTTAATTCTGTTGAACATTATCATCGACATTGGGAATGTCAATGAATTCTGATTCCAGTCAATGCATTACTTTTTCCATGTGATTGGGTTGTGTATTGTCAACAGCATATGATCTTTCTTCTTTAATTTTTAAATACATATTATTAATTTTAATAAATTGTATTAAAAGATGATTATTATCGTTAAACACTGATATAAATATATTTAATACAATAATACAAACATCAGATATTGTAAACTATAAAACTTAATAATACCTATATTGAAGTAGACACGATAATGAGTAAAAATTAAATATTATTTGAATTGTTTTTTTATATTATATGATTATTAAGTACCTATATTATTTAAAAAATAAATAATACTAAGTATATACTTTCAATTAACTAACTGGTAAAATAACAACTATAAACAGTTAAGGTATTAATGTTTTTAGGTTTCAATGTATTATAATTATTTATTTAAATGATATGTACTTACTTGTAACATCAAGAAATTTGATTTAAATACCTTTTTATAACTTTAATGTTAACTTTAAACATAAAAAATAATAGGTACTCAACAATGAAGCAATGATAAATATTTTGTAATTTATTTAAAAATTGTGTATATAAAAAAATAATATAATACTAATATGTAATAAAACAATATTATCAAAGTGCTTACCATAGAATAATTTTGTGTAAATACTGCATAGTAATAACATAGTATAATAATGGTAAATATGTATATAAATGGAAGGTTAATATTAATAATATTCAATATTCATCATAAATTGAATCCTCATGTCAAGCTTCATCAATCATGTTCCATCTATTTCTGTTCTCATAAATCTATGAATTTCAACAGTTTTATCAAAGTTATTCTGTAACTTTTCATTATTTTTTTTTTTTTACTGTTACTGAATTATGGCTTTCGATATTTTTTAATTATTGTTAATGCCATAACTCCATTAAACCAATTATAACTTTTAGTTCCTATTTACGTCATAAAATCTTATTGAAAATAAGAAACTGTAAATTTAGGCAGGTTAGAATAGGAAATTCACTTAAGACGCCTCTTGTCTATCGTCAGTAAATAATTTTTTACCCTAGACAGCCCATTATCTCTAAATAGTAAAATTTGCCGTTACCTAGTTTTGGCAAGAAGTCAACAGAAACATTTGCAAATTTTGATAAGATTAAAATAATTTCAGGTGAAGAGTTTAGTTGAAGCATAGTAACGTAACATTACACAACGGAGGTAAATGGTCTAAAGACTATTGAATAAACACTGGAGGCCAAACAGCAAACAATTAACATGCCGAGATTATTGAGTTTAAGGAGGTCGATGAATAGTCATTCGAAAGCGTGTTATTGTTTGTTATGAACGCATGGGTTTTTCCTCGGACATGTGGCATCGATGAGCTCGTGTGGATCAGAATAAATGCGTACTTAATCTTAGCAAATCATAAGGAAAACATTAACAATTATTTAGATCACTTAAAAAATGATATATTTTAAAGTATAATAGTAATAAACATTGTGTTATCGTCACAGACCATAGATATTATATTAATCTATTAATGTGTCTATGGATATTGGTTCACATGGTTTTTATAAATATTTATCAGACGATCATGACATTTTAAATTTCCATGATTTCCATGAACATATAATTACATAAGTGCATTACAATTTATAACAAAATGTATAGTGCGGTATATTTCTCTATGCCCCTGAACAATTTCCGGTCTAGTCCTGTGCGCACGCCTATGTTACCTTTGATTTATGGGCTGACGTGAGATTACTGAGTACCTCAAATAACTAGGATATTCTAGCGTTTCTATAATTATTTATTATGGGGTAACGCATGTGGTACTTACCGATTGTTAATTAAAGTTAGCTATTTTTATAAAATTGCTCAATTTAAATTTTTGTCTAATATATCATTTGATATACAATGTAAATACATTTGATATCGTCTCATATCTAATGCGTGATAACTGATAAGTTGCCGTCAATGATAATGTGACACGCTCGCGAGATATAGGTATCGGTGCGCACGGCCACGTATTCATTTTGATAATTATTAACAAAAGAAAACACGCGCATGTACTAGTTATGAAACTGGAATTTATTTAAAGAATAATTAAATATGACAATGTAATGTAGATCAGTAGAAGTCGGAATTGGTGTGGTTTGAAAACGGCGTAGTCCGTGACACAGGCGTGCGGTGGTTCGAGAGGGTGACCATAAATGCATGAACTGGCGAATCGTGGTTCGAAGTGGGTGGTGTGGGAGCTCGCAAGCTGGTCAACGCTCCTACAGTGAATCGCGCGGGGAAGGAGGTGCTGTTGCGGAAGTCCGCAACGTAAATGCCTTCCCCCACCAGTAGAGAAAACCACTCGCCTGGGATTCGCCGGACGCTGAACTGTGATGATGATGATAATGCCCGCGGGGTGCAGCTTCTTGACTGGAGAAAGCCTGCCACAATCCCGAGGCTAAAACTTAACGGCGGTGCGGACTACTAGTTGCCAGCGGGCGACGGTCCAGCATTGGAGTCGCTCTCTGTGACCTTGTAAATACACGGATATTTGCACCGTCTAGCTTTGCGGCCGTAACGCGTGTGGTAATAACACATTTCGGGGGGCGTCGCGATGGCTGCATCTTGAGGCTGTGCCAGCGGACTCGGTTTCCGGGGGTCTTCAAAGAGGGCTCGAAAAGCCTGAAACTGCAGCTTCAGAGACTGGACGGCTTCTTCGAGCATCGTTAGACGTTTGCCAAAGTCGAAGGCGTGAGGCAAGCCCGCCTCGAAGATAATGTCCGCACGGTGTGCGAGCTCATCGATTTCGCCATCAAGACTGACGACCGCCGAAAAAATATTACTCGGCAGTTTCATGAGCCAGTAGTCTAAGATAGTTTCCTGGTCGACGTTTTCGGGTAGAGCAGTCCTCAAGTTGGCGAGAAGCTGAGACGGACGACAAGCCGTCGAGGTGCCCGGGAGTACGTCTACAGCTGGGCGCAAATTGACGGGCGCCTCGATGAGGCATTTTCGAATGGCGTCGTAAGACGCCGACGGGCCCAAAAGTTTGGCGACCGACCTGGTGGCGTTTTCATCGAGGGCGACAAGCACGAAATTGATCTTCGTGTTGTCCGTGACTATGCCGTGTTTGACGAAAAAGTTGTCCATGTAGTTGAACCATTCGGTCGGCTCATCACTTTGGAACGCTGGGAATCGATGTGACATGAATGGTGGGTACTGTAGTTCCGTGTCGTTCTCGGAGAGGCCTTCGGGAAGTTCGTCACGTTGTTTAGAGGAACTCGACATGACTGAAGCGAAAATTAAACGGCGTTGAGCAGAAAAAACACGTGTTCTCGCGTGTGATAAAAAGAACAAGTGTTCGAGCGTAGAGGTCCCGTATTTGAGATATAGGTATCGGCCGCGCAGCCACGTATTAATTGCGATAATAAAAGAAGACACTGGCGTACACGAGGAAAGAAACTACAATTTATTTAAAGGATAAATAAATGTGACTAAGTAATGTAGATCGGTCGAAGTCGGTGTGGTACGAGAGTCAAGACTATGTCCATGAAAACAAAAGACATGAACTGATTGAACCGGTTGTGGTGGAAGACTGCAGGCTGGCCAATAGTCTCGAAGTGAGTCGTCCGAGGAAAAAAGTCCACCACAATAGCCATTCATTATCTATAAATCCAGGTAACCAGTTACCACTGATGTATTATAGTATCATTAAACAACATGCTATTATCTCGTTTAACCTAGTTATCAATATTATCATTTGTGGTAAATTTTAAATTGAGGATGTAAAAAAATTAAAAATGAGTTTGTAATAATGTTTGTACATTTTAATCTCGGTTTTAAAAAAAATATAAGTTCTAACTAAACAATTATAATATTCTGTTTTGTTACAGTACATGTTTAATTTTTTATATTAATGCTCCTTTGAGGACTGTAAAAGGGGGTGTACAGGACGATACCCCCCTCGGTAATCTGAGGGATATTAAAATGCTAAAGACGCTACTTTTTAAAGTAGCTTGAATAATTTTTTTTTTCAAGTTATGTACTATCTATAGATACTACATATTCTGGTATTAATGTAGATTTTTGAGCTGATGCGGCAGTGTCTGATCTAATCAGAACTTTCTAAGACGATGGCCAAAACACTGTCATTTGTGGTCTCATAGATCTATGGGAATTTGAATCAGGAACACTAATAAGGAGTGATACCAATCATCTGGCCATAAATCTAGTTAAAATTAAATTTCATTTTAAGTTTTATATTACGAGTTTTTTGACTGCGAGAAAATAGATCACTTGACAGATGGTGATTACATTAAACACATCCNAGGAGTGATACCAATCATCTGGCCATAAATCTAGTTAAAATTAAATTTCATTTTAGGTTTTATATTACGAGTTTTTTGACTGCGAGAAAATAGATCACTTGACAGATGGTGATTACAGTAAACACATCCAGATGTAATCAAATTCAAAATTTTGGTTTTTTTTTAGTTGTTATAAATATTGTTAAGTTTACTGGGTAGTATGTGAGATAGTATTAACCATAAAATATAAAAATAATTTTTTCTTTATGTTAATAATAATTAATAAGTAAATTTTTTGTAAGAGTACATTATATCTGCATCTACTGTCTCAGTCCAAATACTATGAAGTTTATAGAGAACATTATTTTGGAAGGAATGTCATAGTGTTTTTGTAATACTTATTTAAAATATGCAGCTCAATATAATAGGCATAAAAACCTTTTNAATTAAGCTAGTTGTATTTATTCTGCGTAAGCATTATTTTTGTATGTTACATGGTAATTGGATTGGAATAGTAGATGCGGGTATAACGTCCTATTAGTCTTGGATAGTCAAATAAATTATATTTAGATAGGCGCACACCAAGACTAAAACTTGTGTGGTTGTAAAAATCGTAAAAATAGAGAAATCATAAAATCAAGTCATAATTTAATGTTAACAAAACATTTTGAAAACTACTCTTTAAATAAATGTAATTGTTAACTAGCAATTTTTATATTTTAACATGACAAAACGACCACAATCACAATATACTGCATAAACTATGTAGAAAATGGTAATCGGACTTGACCTAATTACTACAAACAGTATATGATTTGCTAATGATTTACCAGTTCAACTTTAAAAGATTTATATAAAATATAACACTATATCATCACCAGCTCCTATTGAAGTTGGCTGTTTAGTGGTGATAGAATGTGGTTAACTTTTTGAAAAGAGGAAGAGATCATTAATTTATGACAGAAACTTTGAAATGTCAATTATTGTTAAAGTATAAGAAGTATTTATGATATTAAGCGTATAAAAGTATAACTATAACTAAATATTAAAAGTATTGCTTTGTTTAAAAGTTAAAGCATTATAACTGTATAATAAAAATAAAAATATAAAATATAATTAATGTGATAAAATTAACATTCAGTTTTTTAGATTTGTATTCTCATATGCTCCATAGTTTCTTTTATTTTTTAAAATTTATGATTAACCATTAACAAATATATATACTGTATTTAAATTGATCCTGAATCCTTTATAAATACTTATATGTGCCTATGCCTCATTTATATCTTATGAGCACAGAAATCTAAACTTGAAATGATTCTCAAATTCATCACTTTGCAGGTAACATATTTTTCTTACTGATTTGAAAAATTAAAACTTTTAGTTGCATTGATATTAACTTGATTTATTCTTTTATAATTAATTAATTTTTTAGTTTAATGTAGTTATAAAAAATATAATGTTCAACTTTTTCTTGACTTAACTTATTGATTGAAAAATTTGTTAACTTGCCTAGTCTTGAATTTAATGAATGGGTTTTGTCAAAAATAGTTTTGATGGATTTTGGATTTTTACTGTGAAAAAGGTTCTATGGGCCCACAAACAAATGGTCAAAAGTATAATATATTAGTAAAAACTTAAAATATTAAATTAATTATTTAGTCATACCATTTAATATAAAATTTATTGTATTAAAACTCTTCAAACTAAATTTTTAAAAAGAAACAGAATAGAACAGTGCCATAGCCAGGGGAGTAATGAGAGAATGTGCCCACTTCTCCAAAATTGTAATTATTTTTTTTCTTATAAACGCTGTAGTGCAGATTACATAAATTCATGAATTAATGAATACTATTATATAAGTTTATACATTAAAAATATTATGTATGCGTAATATTATATAAATCACTAATTGCAGAAGAGGAATATATAATTGCCAGATTTGTATTTATCTATTTTAAATACATGTTTTGTGTAAAAATGAGACTAGTCCATCAAATTTTTATGGAAATATTAACAGTTATAGTTAGTGTTTAGTGCAAAAAGGAGAACTAGTCCAAGATTGTATAATCATTTCTTTAAATAGCAAACAAAAAATAATTTAACAAATTGTCTATATTATTAATTAATAAGATATGTCTGAAGTTACTTCAATTGAAACTTGGAGCAGTACCAGTCATGAATTATAGGACAATTATACTTGACCCTTCCCAATCTGTAGAGGTTTGCAACTTAAAAATATTGTATAGTTACCTTACAACATAAATTGCAATTACCATTAATATATATTATAATACAAATAAGTACTCCAATTGTATACTCTTAGTGTTAATAGACCAGTCTTAGCATGAAAGGGTAACTATACATAATTTTTAATTTTGATCTTTAACAATTTAAATTATTTTAGTTTTTACCTATATGTAACGTTTTAAAACAGAGAACAGATTTGAATTTTTTACATTTAAACAATGTTTCTTCTGAAATATTATTAATAAGCAATAATAATTTGTCCAATTTGGATCTTGTGTCTAAAAGAAGAAAGGTTATACAATTTAAAAATATAATACAATTGTCATAAAATTTAGTAATTATCAGATTTATTAAAAAACAACTTGTAACTAACGGCGTAGTTGCCGTAGGATGAGCAAATATATTGAGGGGGAGGGGGGCTGAAGCCCAACAAACATTTTTAATGTGTTATATATATATGCTTTAAAAAAAGCAATGAAAACATGTGCACTAAAAGTAAGTGAAATATTCTCTTTAAATGGATAAATCATAGAATAAGCACAAAAACTATTGTTAACTTACTAGTAATTTAATACTAGGGGTTATTAATATTTAAACATGACCACTATATAACCCTAAATGGCCTGAATAATAAGGGTAAACGGCTGGGAGAACATAAAAACTTACAAGGAATAAATCTAATCAACACCATAATCTAAATCAAAGTAAAACATTTATTTTTTTTAAACTAATTGCAAACGCTCATGAAATTTCGATTACCTATACATTTAATATATCATTTAATTAAATGTTGTTTAATATATCTCTTTCAATATTAAAAATAGTCAAGGAGGAAAAACGGTCTTGTGTCATAGTTGACCGTAAATATTGACTCGTCTCATTATTGAAAATGGCCTCTCACAAGTTGCTGAAGAAATTGGTAAGGTCAGAGCTAAGTTTAAAAGTTTAAATAAGAAAAAGTTGATATTTTTATGTTTTTGGAATAAAATTATTTGATGTTTGTATCCTGGTTTATTATTATCATTTGCAGTTGTAGTTAAAATAAATTTTTTTAGAGATACAGGTTCAGATCTTTTTCGTATAAACACTATTAATAAAAATAAATTATAACAAATTAGTAAAATATCTATTCAAAATTAAACTATTTATTATTTTTAGTAAGTCTTCTAGTTCTACATTTTATTCTTTAGAAAATGTTACTATATTTTGTCAAATTTCTATATACATTTCAGAGTTGTAACCATCTTCCAATAGTTTTTATTACTGAATTTATTTCATTTATAAAATTATATAAACATGTTTCATATATCACGTCACAGCAATTATTGTCTTCATATAATACAAACATGATTATGTTAAATAAACGTAAAATTGCAATAATAATTAATATGAGTATTATTAATATTCTGTGGTCTTTGCCTTAAATTTAATTAGCTCTGAACGACAGATAACAATTTATTTTTAAACATCGTGTCAACTATAAATAAATAATAATTTTTTAAATTAAGCTAAACCCCCTCCTAGATACGCCTATGGATTACCTACCAACTTGATCTATTTAATATAAATGTTAACACTATTAAATAACACCAAATAAATTTTGTATTAAATTACAGAAATAACTCGAAAATGTAAAATGAAACGTTTAGAAAATGTCCAGATCATAAATATTCAAAGTAAAATATTTCTGAAGTAAAAATATAAACATTTTAACAAAATAATTTAATAAAA